GGACGGACGCCACGACTGATCACTACCACGACGTGACGAACACAAAGATGCCATTAATAAAAATCCGGATTTACTGCTCGGCTCTTATCTTCCGGGATATACTCATAGCCACCGGTTAGTCATCCCAAACATACAGAGTCCGCACCCAATCAAACCCATAGCGAAAAATAATTTTTTGCCCATTTATTGAGTTTATTTGAACATTATCTTAGCAGTAATTATTTGGTCATTTCAGGTAAAATACCGCCATTTTCTAACATATCTGAGCAACAAATTGGTCACGAGTTTGCCGGCCGTCGGGCCGATACCGGCGAACGGGTTGTGGGTTTAAATTACGGCAAGAAGTGATCAGAGATGGAAGACTCGGTTCCTATCGATACCAGAGTTTTGGCAAAGATTTCGATAAAATCCAATCAAATGAGTATTACTTGGGTTTAGGAAAGGGTCGGGACTTGTCGTCACTCGAGTGGACGGACGCCACGACTGATCACTACCACGACGTGACGAACACAAAGATGCCATTAATAAAAATCCGGATTTACTGCTCGGCTCTTATCTTCCGGGATATACTCATAGCCACCGGTTAGTCATCCCAGACATACAGAGTCCGCACCCAATCAAACCCATAGCGAAAAATATATTTTTGCGCATTTATTGAGTGCGGGTTTTGAACATTTGCTTAGCAATAAATCAGTGATATTTGGGTTAAATTATTTGGTCATTTCAGGTAAAATACCGCCATTTTCTAACATATCTGAGCAACAAATTGGTCACGAGTTTGCCGGCCGTCGGGCCGATACCGGCGAACGGGTTGTGGGTTTAAATTACGGCAAGAGTGTGACCACCAGTACTCGAGTGGAGCCGTATTTGTTCACAACAATACCCGACAACTGGTCTATGGAAGAGGCGGTCACTATATTGAGCCCGTATTTCACGGTATGGTATGGATTGATAGAGAGGGCACATATCAGGCGAGGTTTGGCTGCATTTAATTTTTTTTAGTTTATTGTAATAATTATTAATTTTTACTATATATTAATTATTAACACTTAAAGGCGAGAGTATATTAATCCATTCGGCGGCGGGAGGTGTGGGTCAGGCGGCCATTAATGTGTGCCAACACTACGGCTGCGATATATACGCGACGGTCGGCACCGAAGAGAAGAAACAGTTTCTCATAAATAAGAGAGTGTATTAATCCATTCGGCGGCGGGAGGTGTGGGTCAGGCGGCCATTAATGTGTGCCAACACTACGGCTGCGATATATACGCGACGGTCGGCACCGAAGAGAAGAAACAGTTTCTCATAAATACATACAAAATACCGGCGAAGAAGATATTGTCGTCGAGAAGTACTCAATACAAGAGTCAAGTGATGCGCGCGACTGCCGGACGGGGAGTGGATTTGGTGCTCAACTCTTTGGCCGGCGATATGTTTGACGCGAGCTATGAGTGTGTGGGCACAGGAGGACGGTTTGTGGAGTTGGGAAAAATGGATTTCTTTCAGAACCGAAAGCTCCCGATGTATAACCTATTGAGGGATTTGTGTATTATTTGCGTTTCGCTGGACGAGAGTGTTATGGCCCGGGAGTACATATTTGACGCGTTTTACGCTTGGGTTCACCAGAACTGCACCAATGGTTGCGTAAAACCGTTGAATCGGACGGTATTTCCGGCCGCAGACGCGGAGAAGGCTTTCCGATACATGACTACCGGTAAACATATCGGGAAAATAGTTATCCGTATTCGTGAAGAGGAGGCGAACCGAAAGCCGTGGAAACTTATAAAACCGGCCAATAATATGATTGTCAGTACAAAGACTTACTTCAATCCCAATAAGACTTATATAATAACTGGAGGTTTGGGTGGCTTTGGGTTAGAGTTGTGTCAATGGATGGTATATAACGGGGCGAAGAGATTGGTGTTGACCTCCCGTTCGGGCATTAAAAATAATTACCAGAAATATATTATCAATCGTTTGAAAGCTTTCGGCAAAACAAACAAAACTTTTGAGAACGAAGTAATCGTCTCTTCGGCCGACTGTTTCACTATTGAGAGCGCAAAACAACTGCTAAATGAGTGCAAAGGGTTGGGCGCACCCATCGGTGGTGTCTTTCATTTGGCCCTCGAGTTAAACAATTGTCTCTTCAGTGAAATATCTTTCGATGCATTTATGAGAACCGTTGACATCAAAGAGAAGATATGCAAGAATTTGGATCAATTGAGCCGAGAATTGGACTATAATTTAGACCATTTTGTGGTGTTTTCGTCGGTATCGGTGGGAATGGGAGTCGAGGGACAACTGAACTATACTTATGGTAACTCTATTTGCGATCGCATTTGCGAACAGAGACAGAGGGACGGCCTGTCGGGTCTGGCCATACAGTTTGGTCCGATCGGTGACGTCGGCGCTATGCATGAGATGACACAAGTGTTCGCATTCATGACAACTCAGAAACAACGGATCCATTCGTGTTGTGAAGTATTGGACAAACTATTGGCCGTTCAATATCCGGTCGTAACCGTAAATGTATGTTCAACTTTACCTTTACTAATAATTATATACAGTACATAAAATATATTATTAATATTACATTTACATAAGATATTTAATTTATAAAAATTTATAAAATCAATTAAATTTAATCACCAATTTCATATTTTACCATTGTTTAGTAAAACAAAGCTATTTACAAATAGTGATAGACACTAGTTAGTTTTATAAAATATTTCAATATAAATTTATAAGTTACTGTACATTTGTAAAACAAATAGTTTTAAAAACATTAGGTGAAAACGGTTGAGACATCAATCTTAAAACTGGATACGAGTGCCAGAGAGGGCTCGAAATCATTTATTAATAATTTGTGGCGATCTCTGGGTATCGATCCGACGGCCACTCCGGCGGACATGACTTTAGGGGAGATCGGAATTGAATCCATATTTGCCTCAGAATTACAGCAAGAATTGGCAAAACTCTGTAATCAAACGATTCACTTGAAAATTATTAAACACATGTCTGTCGGACTCCTTCGGGACTTTGAGTCCGGAGGCGATCACACCATTAAAGCCTATTTTAATGGTATAAAAAGGGCTCAAATATCGCTCTCAAAGTATAAGTTTGTGATTCCTGTGGAAACACACGTCAGACTCAATAGTGTCTCAAACGGAAAGCCATTGTATTTAATGCCGACTCTGGAGATGGGGTTTGCATTGTATGACAATTTGGCCCAAAATATTAACCGACCGGTCGTTGGACTCAATTGGACTCCAGATGTGAACAAATTGTTGACTTTGAAGGAAGTGATGAAATACTTTGCAGATTTAATGGCAAGACTTGAACCAAATGGTGGTTACGATGTGTTGGGATCGACGGACGGAGCGATCATTTGTGGCCAACTCTTACGGAAAGGTTTGGCAGAGAAGGCGGTTATGATTGATGTGCTGTCGAAACAGCGCTTCCGAG